CCCCTCCGAAAAAATTTCTGGGTACGCCACTGGTTATTACCCACATCTAATTATTACCACCATTTGTTACTCCTATATCCTCCTTGTGAACGTTTATTGATACTCTCCTCTTTGATCATAACTAGTCAGAAAATTTCAAATGATTTTTTCAATGATTTCGAATTATGATTTTGAAGTACTGATTTTTCAGATGTTTTATGGAAGGAACAAAGATTTCAAACATAACTCAAACTTTTTTCCTTTTAAAAAGAGCTCTGATTGGCCCTTTGAAGAGAGCAGAATTGTTATTCTTATAGTGCTAACAATAAAAAAGAAAATTTTTAGTACTATGAAAGTACGATTTTTTTCTTCACAGTATCATGAGATCTATATAAATACGCCTGTTTAGAATTGGCAATTTTTGAGTTTTTGTTTCGAATCAAGTAAAATCACATAGAGTTGGCAAACTTTTCTCATGATCATAGTTTTTCGATCTTGCAAAAAAAGTCTGGGCTCAGCGAAATTTCTTCAGAAAGTTATGGTTATTGAAATAACAACGAATATAGTTTTTCTGGAGAATTACTTTCGAATATTTCTATTTGGGGGAAGGTCTTGAGCTTTTATTGTATAAAATTTACTTATAGTGTTATTAAGGAATCTTTTACAACTTTTTTGCATAACAACTTTAGTATAAGTCAAGATTTCAGCTTTATTCGGTAATTTATTTATTAATTAATTCAGTACGCAAAAGAGTGCTAAATCCAAAGCAATCAAAAGTAATTCAAGAGTAAGACAAATACGTTTTCTTTAAGTGGACGTTGATCTTTCGCATCTATTTGAAGAAGAAGATATTTTAGAAGAAGATTTCTTTTTCCAAAAGGAAGCTTACAGATATTTTTCGATTTTTTTTGCAATGGAATGTTAAAGAACTTTCGTATCATACTAGTGTGCTTTAGCCCTCAATATTCCTCAATGTTCCCAACTTGAAAAGCGATTGCCTATTCATTTTTTTCTCTCGCATGTTATTTCTTTTTTCATCTCCTTGCCCTTATGGGGACAATTTGCAGGCACGAACACCGCGTATTCCTCAAAAAAGTAGATGTAATAGCTGGTGATGCTAGATACGGGTGTTCTACTTGTATTATGTTGGGTTTTGGCCATATTAGCGCCACATGGGTCACATATAGCTGCACAATCTGATTGGTCCAACAACGAAGGTGAGATTACGGTATTGATCATAGTGAATACTTCTTGATTCTCTTAATGATTTTATCAAATATTGAAATTTCCTGGAGCTGAGCTTGTAATTTTTATTACGGCTATTTTAAACCACGAAAATTTTGTTTTTTTTTTCATCTAAGTGTTCAAAATTTTTTGATTTAATTTAAGTTTTTTTCTCTAACAATTTTATCGTTTTTTTTCAAACTTTGAAGAATTCCATTTTCCATCACTCCTAAAATCTCTTTTAAGA